AAAAGTGTGCTTTGTTTTAAAGGCAAATCAGCCTCCTTAGATGTTACAAGAGAAAAAAGCAGGCTATAAATGTCATTTCTGAACGTAACAGGTGGTCGGCTGCCTCTGTAGCCTATAGGCTAAGTAGCATCTTATTCCTCTTGTACTATTTATGTATAATGTATGGTGCTTTAGTGGAGACCAAAGAATGGACTCCTGCCTTTAGGAGATTACAGTCTCTGAGGAAGCCCAGAGCATAAAAAATATAGAAGAGAAATGCTGTGTTTAATTAAACTCGTGTGAAAATGCAAGATGAAAGCTTCAGGGACACACAGAGTTTTTCTTCAGGCCTGGTGCTCATTAAAAAAGGATCACGGGTGTTAAATAAGCCAGTATCTGAGAAGTATCTGATGTGACTCAAAAGAATTGTACAGTATTCTACTTTGAAGTACTTGCTCTTCCAAACTCGGCTTGGTTTACGTGTGGCCCTTCTACTCTCTCTCTCTCTTTAAATAAAAAAAAGAGTTAATTTATTTTAAATATTTATTTATTTGAAAGATTTACATGCCACTTTTCTCCTAAAGGATCCAAGGCGGCTTACAGTATTAAAAGAAGCCAAGTTAAAAGCAAAATAATGGAACGATTACAATATTTAAAAAGCATTCATCCAAAACAAGATGGGAAGGTCCTGTAAACAGAGGCTTAAATTAATAATAAAATGGAGAAATATGGCAGGTAGATCTTATCTGTTGAACTCTGCCTTATGCCAGATTAACCCTATTTTATCCCTCCCAAGAACCCTTTTGTGGCACATCAGGCTGGAGAGAGACGCAGACTTCCAGTGCCAAACTGGGTCTTGAACCAAGATCTTCCTGGTCCTTTGTGCTGCTCTCTAACCACTGCACCAGGCTGCCTCTCAGTAAACTGAATAGCATTTCCCTCCCATCCCATTGAACTTCATACAATACCTGCTCCCCAGTGGGAGATTAGGGCACTACCTTCTCCTTTCAGGCCACCAAGCCCGTCTCTTCCTGCTCAACTTAACTGATCTTTAGAGTCTCCAGAGTCAGGGAGAAATCAGCTCCAGTTTTATGTACCTTGGGAGAAACCAGACATTGAACCAGAGAACCTTTGAACAGAAATCATGGAGCTGCAATGTTTCCCTCCTTCTGCACTATTGGTAGACAGCCAGGATGCTATCTTTCTCAATTAAAATGGAAAGACACCTGTATTCTTGCAAGTGTAAAATATCTACCTTTTAGGAAGCATGGTAGAACCACCTGTCCACAGCAAAGCTGATGTCCTGTAAATCTCTACAGGCCACTATTCCAGAAGTGGAAGGAGATGTCTCGGAAATTTGGGTCCAGAGTCAAATCACATCTTAAGGCAAATGTCTGTTTCCTGCTAGTATCCGGGATGTTCCCTGTAGACACACAGTTCTTTCAGACTTAAATACTAAAGTAATCAGACTTGCAGGTGAGGTCCCTATTTGTCTTTTATTGACCAGTCACTAAACAAAACAAAGCTAACCTGCAACCTGCAAAATGAGGCAAGTTTGTGCAAGGATAAACAGATGCATTTTACCCCATAAGGCAGTTCCACTTCTAATAACATGTACCTAGTTTAGGAACCTTTAATTATCCAATCAATTGAGTATCTCAGGGCACAGTTGGCAAACTATGGTTTGACATATTACCACCTCCCAGTCTGGACTATACCAGTACCTCTCCCTTTCCACCTGATCAATGATTCCTCACCATGGGTCCAACCTGGTCGGTGATTTCTGGATCACGCCATACAGTGTAGAAGTTCAGCTAGAAGGGAAGGATCTTTCCTTCTTAGCTTTGCCTAATAGAAGATGTGCAACGATACAGAAAGGAGCAGTCTCATAAACAAGGAGTCAAATGTTAGGAACCCGCAGAAATGTTTACGAGGGGAGGGGCAGAAGGCCCGGTCATTGCAGCCTGCTTATTTTCGACGACGGATACAAAGTACACAGGGGCGCACACTACTCGATTCGCTTGCCGACATGCAACAGCTGGTCAACATAAGTGAACAGGGTCATGCTTTAAATGCAAAACGAAAGCAGGAGATCTTCATTAGATATTCATTCAAACTTTTCCTTGATAACCACTGCCTGGACCATCCTCTAAAAAGAATAAGTGAATACAGTCCCTCAACCTAAAACACTGAGGTGAAGACCTCCACTTGAACCCTAAGACATCTTCTATCCAGGAATGCCAAAGGAGGACGTGGAAGAAACCGGATGTTCCAAACCAATGAGGTGCATAAGCCACTATCCTTCTGAGGGAGTGGCGCCAACTGCAGCCCTCCCAAATTCTGTCTGCCCAGGGCACTTAAAGCACCAGCCTGTCTTCAACTGACTAAAAAGAAGGAGACAGGATTAGCGGTATCCAACGTGGTACATTGGACAAAGTGATGGAGTAAGACTTGGGGAAACCTGGGTTCGAATCCCGACTTGGCCATGGAAACCTACCAACGTTGAATTGGGAAAACCACTCCTTAAATATCTCACTTGCGCTGAACTTTCTATTAGGGTTGCTATCAGTCAGGTCCAGTTGCTGGCACGTAACACAAACACAGCAAGATCAGACCAAGCCTAGGTTCCCCCTTGTGAGCACCCTGGTATCCTTGAAGGCAACCCCCCCCCTTTGGTTGTTTCCTTTCGGCAACCAAGAAGTGGAATCACCAGAAAGAAACACCCCACAGCATTCACAACATCCTACTGCAAAGGAGTTTCCTGGCCACACATAAAGATGTACAGTATTAGCAGCTAAGGTGCCAGCGATGGGTGACACAGACCCGTTTGCCTGCTCCTCTCAAATCTCTGGCTTTTTCTTTTGCTTTCCTTTCTAAGGGGACTCTAGACAGGCTTGCTCTGCTTCAGCAAAATCAAGGGTTTTGTGCCCCTTTGAAATTTCAGCACTTGCACCAGCCGAAAGCTTTCACAGATGGCATCGGGCAGAACCAGCGTGTCGCTTTCGATGCCGCCCAGGAAAGCTTATGCGCTGAAGCCTGTCCTTGTGGGGCTACAAGGATCTTTGCTGGCTTTGCTGGAACCAAAGAAGGAGGCTCCCCGTCTCCCCTGAATTCCATTACTCACTCAAGTCCTTTGCTGCTGACAACTCATAGGACCCGGGGAAGTGCTAACGTGGTGAGTCAGAGGACAGATTCCTCCCGCTCAATACCGTCTAGACTTTGTCAATGGCTCTTTGGTGTTCCAGGCAGAAGGTCTTTCCCACGCACACCTAAGGATGTGCCATCAGGTCAGCTCTGACTTAGGGTGACCGCTTTCAGGGTTTCCTTGGTAGAGAGTCCTCAGAAACGGCTTGCTGTTTCATCCCCTTCTACTGGGAGCGCCCTGGGATTGTGCAGCTGGCCCAAGGCCACGCAGGCTGGCTCTTTTCTGAGGAGGCTCAGTGGGGGAACTGAACTCCCCCTCTCTGGCTCCACAGCCAGATATTGAACTTCCACTGAGCCAACAAGCATCCGAGATGCTTTTCTTCTCCCCCCCCCCATGTATTTCCAACTCATTGGAGGGAATGGTGTCACTTGGTGTGTTGCCTTGAGTGAGATCCCCTCCAAATGAAGCCCCCCCCTCCAAGACCACCCTAGAATTGACCAAAATCTGCCCCACTTTGGATTAATTCCCTTGGGTTTGAATTCCCACTTGGAATAACCAAGGAAGTCTCCTCATCAGCTGCACCCAAGCCTGCCATGGAGCAAGTCTCTGAAATGTTTGGACAGCCCTGCTGGAAGAACTGCACTCTGCACTTGCTCAGGGGCACTGGCGTCTGCTTCCAAACCCAGTCTCAAGGCAAACCCCCCCTCTTCGTCCCGCATAAAACCAAGTTCGGGCTTCCCGTGTGTTTGCTGCTCTGTGTTGTTTCTTGGGGGACTCACCCGTGGAAAAGGGAAGGCGGTTCCCTCTTGCCCGTAAGAACAAAGGAGAAGGCAGGGCAGGATGCTGCCCTGCTCATGGGCGCACTATCCTGGGGTAGGGTACCCCAGTTTTGCCAGCAGGAACCCCACACATTGCGATGAAGCCGCTACTCGGAAGGCGGGGGGGCGTAGATCCAAGCTTCTCTCACCCACCCGCCCCCAACCCCTTTCTCTAGGGCTTCTCCGGCCCCTCGAGAGCAGCTCGACCTGCCGAGGTGGGCTACTGATACTGGTGATGCTAGTAGTAGTAGCAGCAGCAGTAGTAGCAGTAGTTCTGCCGAAGTGCCTACACCAAGGTAAACAGTTCTATAAAATCTGTTAGGGTAAGTAAAATATTATATTTTAACAATCTTCACCTCTCCATTACTGGAAACTTCTTTCTTCTGTTGGCATCTTCTGACCACTTCCAGCAATAAAGGCCCATCTACTGTTGCTTTAGCTTCTACTATACCCAAATCTCGAACTAAATTCTCTCGAGTCTCAAGTCCATTTAGCTACAAAGTAAATAAAAATCACTGTAAGAAATCAACATTATACATGTAATTTGCCTGTTTTCTCTCTTTTAAAAAATGTAGCAAACTGGTGGAAAAATAACTGGATCTTTCTGCAGAGTTGTGATACACAAACTATCAGCATAAGGGCACAAAAAATAGTATTTGTCCCTTCCATTTTAAACTACAATATCACACATTTCTTGTTTCAAGTTACCACCGCTTTACTCTTTAAACTCCAACTAATCCTGAAGAATTCTACCACCCTGGTAACAGCACAACGGCCTATACTGCTACTGTCTCCTGCTGTATGATAACCACAGTAACGTTCCATGGAATATACAAATAGCAGTATGGAGATAAGCCTTGTTCACAACAATAGAAGCCAGGTATCTCCCATCAGTGGTTGTTGTCTTCAATTTGAGAGTCACCAGCAACAACTCCAGTGAGCATTGGAATCTCTTCACAAATTTCATGTCCAATGCTGTTTGCCCATTTTCAATGGTGAAAATGATGAAAAATATATCGGAAGCGCCGGTCTCTCCCTCTTTCTCTCGCGCGCTTTACCCGATTTCCAACTCGATCTCCGAGATGTCCGCGAAGATGAGGATCCCCACGAGCAGGGTGAGCAGCGCCAGGGTCCAGCTCCGGCACGGCAGCGGCATGGTGACCCGGGAAGGAGCCGGGAAAGGGGAGGCGAGGCGAGGCGAGGGCAGCCCGGCCCGCCGGCGCCGAGAAAACCGGGCGGCGGCGGCAACGGAGGAGGAGGAGGAGAAGAAGCAGGATGCGCGCAGCTTTGCCTGGACGGTCGAGCGCTTCGCCCGAGCGCCGGAGTTTGGAGAGCTCCCGAAAGGGGAGGGGGGAGGAGGGGAGGGGATCGGAGGGGAGGGCCAGCCCCCCCTAGCTATTCCCCCCCGTTTGGGGGGAGGGTCCCTTTTCCTTCTCCCCCCCACCCAATCGCGTTCTTTTCCTTTTTATAGCATCCTTCGCTGGACCAGACCGGGTCCCACCCGCGCCGAGGGGACGGGGACACCTTCCCCCAGGATGAGCCGCCTTGACAGCGGGAAGGGAGGCAAAGGGAGGCCGAGGGGGGGGTCGGGG